CGATGCCCTCTGTGTGTGTGTGTGTGTGTGTGTGTGTGTGTGTGTGTGTGTGTGTGAGAGAGAGAGAGAGAGAGAGAGAGAGAGAGAGAGAGAACATCTCTATTTCTGAATCTGGCTCAGAACTGCTTCCAGATTCAGACAAAATCATCCAGGCCGATTGGGCCGACGTGGGTGGGCTGGGCATGAGGCTGTAGGCCTGGGTCCACTCCGTTTCATATTTGAATTTCAAGGACCTGCGCCGTTTCAAAATATTTTAGACCACGGCCACCTACAGGTTCCCAGGAAAATGCCACGGGCAAATACAGGTCCTGCATTTGCTTGAACTGCGCTCCCCCCCCTAAATGCCAGTGCCTTTCATTTTACCAGCCTTTGAACGACCAATGGGCCCGAGTGAACGACCGGTATAACGAACGACGACGAAAATGTCTCAGGGGGGAAAACGCAACCCTGACGGGCTGCGAATTATATCGCCTCAGGAAGGGCTACCTTTCTGGGTGAAGGGTAAAGAACCCGATTTCGTTTGGAAGGCCGTGAATAGCCTGATCAGACTGCACCTGACCAGCTGTGAGGCCTGTGCAAAACCATGGACTTGTGATCTGCATGTCCAGGTGCAATACGAGTGGGCTGTACACGTACTTCTCCCCGAAATTTGGACCATTTCTCGGTTTATACGTGTCATTCGTTCCCAGGTGCAACGCTACCTCTGTGAATGGTCCCAACGACTTCGATTTCCATCTCCCCCCCGGCCCCCCCAAAATCAAACCCCACCCCAGCCAGCAGAAAAAAGTGGGAAGTCCCGTGATTGCGCAGTTGTGGCTCAGAACTCAGAGAGGTGTTGTTCACGCACTCTCATCGGAGCCACATAGAACAAAATCGGGCAAAAGAAGAAGAAGAAGGAGAGCACAACCTCCGATCTCATTCCAACCAAACGAGACTGGAAGACCCGTAAAACGCCCGCATGCAAGGCCACCTCGACAGGTCCTCTCTACCCGAGGTTGTATGACCAACAAGTTACAGCATCAGCGGCGAAGACGCTAAAGAACACAAGAAAGAATGTAATGCTTCTCGTTTCTCTTGTCGTCGTCACAAAAGAAAAGGATATCATCAAACAACCATAAACCAATTTCCAAAAAAAAAACATAAGCCCTATCCCATCCCCAGCAACAAAAGAGAGCCTGTATGAAAATGAAAACGGAAACACCTGTCCGAAAACGAAAACACCTGTCCGTTACACAATCTCTCTCTCTCTCTCTCTCTCTCTCTCTCTCTCTCTCTCTCTCTCTCCCCCGCGACCGAGCAAGCGCGCGTTCAATAGCAGGCTCCCACCTGGGCGTGCTGGTACTGAGCTGCCAGACAAAAAATTTATGAGCGATGGGAGCAGCCCCAAGCAGTATGATCATCCTCCACAAGGAGGCTGGTAGATGACTCGGCTCCCTCCATACTGGGCGCCGTCGTTCTCTCTCCTTCGATGCCCACCACGCACTAACTCTCTCTCTACACAAAAGTACACACATTCTCATTGCGCAAGACCGCATACCGCGTCCTTGCACTTTTACAGGCTTCTCCCATCCTCCATTTTCTCTTTTCCCATCGCTCCCTTCCTGCGCCCAGTCGTCACGCACCCTCCCCACCCTTTCCCCGTCCCTCCCTAGTTTTCCGTCTCTCCACTGCACGCCGTTTCGTCCTGTTCTCGAGGGAAAGAGCCAAGTCCTTTCTCCACTGCACGCGCTTGAGGGAAACAGCCAAGTCCCCTTCCTCGAAAGCCGCACCCTGAAATTTCCATGTAGTCTTTGAGCAGTTCGGGGCAGAAGCGTTGTTTCCTCGTACTCCTGCCTTCATTTACTAACTTCAGCATTCTGTTATTCTGCCATACACACAGCTAGACATAGCGCGCCAAGCCAGACAACTGAACGACACTCAGTTTGGCTTGCACAGCTATCCAGTCAGATCCCGACAAATTTTCCCGGCAAGGTGCAAGGAGACACGCGAAGGACAAGAGACTGGATGCGATAATTGATTTCCGCAAACAGCAAAAGCGAGAGAGAAACTCTAAGAGAGAGAGAGAGAGAGAGAGAGAGAGAGAGAGAGAGAGAGAGAGAGAGAGAGAGAGAGAGAAGGCATAACTATTACAAGGCCAGGAGTGGTCGATAGGAATTACTAGATAAGGTGGCTGCTGCCAATCTTCACCCTTCCCAACTTCCCCTCTTGCGCAGGTTTTACTCAGGGCCTCGCTACACTACTCACAAAACGTGCAAATTGAGAATAAATCGTCGGCTAGAACATGGAAAGATCCATCGCCATATTTTCTGTCTTCTGAGCATGTGGAGAGTAGTGGAGCGAGGCCCTCACTACGACAAAACCTTGCGAAACTGCAACCAGTACGAGATCGCCCGCGAGCCGATACCCCCTCTGTCTGCATCACACAGCCCATTCCGACCGCCCAGCGCCAACAACCGCTGCTCCACTTCTTGTTTTGAGTTGAACTCCCTAAAGCTTGTTGAATTGAATCGTGTAACATAAATCAGCTCAAACCGCGTAAAAGCTTAAATCAGCCCCAACCATTGCGACCGCATGGTGAATTGCCGCTGGAGAACGAGCCTTCTGGAGTTCAGAAGAACGGTAGAGGGCCATACACGAGAGCATAGATCCGCATCCAAAAGCGTCGTGCACGACGCAACCATTCGACAGTTCTTCCGGTGAGCCAAACGAAGGACTCGATAACTGTGAATGACGGAGAGATCGCGTCCCCTGTCAATCAGTCAATCAATCCCCAAAATCCCCATCCACATTAGACAACATCCCCTGTTCTCTCTCGATTCCTCCCCTCTTTGATCTCTCCATAGACGACAGAGATAATCTCCCGCTGGACCTTTAGCCTAGGCCTGCATGGGATTCTCTCATTCACCAAACAGCTCGCGCCGCGAAGGCAGTGCATAAATGGTGTTGGGTTGGATGAACCAACCTCTCTCTCGACCGTGCACAAACGCAGCGTGCCGGGCGTTCGAGCTCGACGCCCTGAGCGAGAACAATAATAACTGTAAGTGACAATTTGATAAAAGAACAGAAAGAACAATTGGAAAGACGAAAGACAAAGACCCACGAACCATTCTGTTGCTTCCTTGTCCGTCTCCTGAGCGGCCAGAACGACGAGGAAGGGGGAGTTAAAGAAGGCGCGGCGGCGTAAGGGAGCAAAACGTGTCTAAAAAGAAAGGAGAAAAAAAACAACAACTAGATCCGCTTGGCGAGTGAACCGGAGAAGCAGTGCACGAACCCTGTAAAGGTACAGGAATAGGGAAAGGGAAGCAGCCGCAAAACCGGAAATCACTGTGCACGAACCCTATAAAGGATAGGAATAGGGAAAGAGGGAAGTGAAACAGGAAACATCCGGCCAGAGAAAACGAGACGCCGACCATGACGTCGTGAGGGGAAAAGCGCGGGAAGAAAGACGATACACGAGGAAATTTCGTCGGGTGCGGCGGAAGAAGCACGCCCATAAGAAAAGAGTGAGCCGTCTATGGCGTTCGAGGCGAAGGGCACAAGAAGAGGCCGCAAGACAAAATTAGCAAGTCTGACACGACAGCCAACATACCATAGCCAGCATTCTTTTCAAGTGCTCGCAGACGCGTTCCGCACAGCCGCATCGCTCGCTCACTCCTGCGCAGACGAGCTCCACCTCCTCCTGGTGCACTCAATCTCGCCAATTCACATCCGGTTCTCCGCACCCCTCCATCAACGGTGCTCTTCAACCCATCCTTTCCTTTCTTCCGCCCGTCCACTTCTACAGGGAAAACGGCAATGCACGTCCGGTTTGTCTGCGATGTAGTCACTCAGACAGACAACACCCCGTCTTGCCGATTATACCCAGTCTCCCTCCCGGATTACGCCGACGCAAGTCCGTCTTCTTTCACACGGACGGCCTATGAATCGTCTACAACTACTTGTCAGGCTCTCTCTCTCTCTCTCTCTCTCACACACACACACACACACTCTCTCTCCCCCCTCCCCCCCCCGGTCGCCGGGCCCCCTAAATTCGCACAAGTTCGTTCACGCTGTTTTGCTATGTACAACAACACGGAAACGGTGGAGGGTGAATCGTCATCATCGTCGCCCCAAGAAGATGGGAGGAGAAGCAGCGTCCAAAAGGCAATAAGTGGGAGGGCGGAGAGAATAAATCAGACGACGGCAGAAGCAGCTCGAGGAACCGCTGCAGGAGCAAGAGGGGCAGTTATTATCCTTTCCGGCCATTTCCGGATTTCGCTGAGAACCTCAGCCTTGTCTTCATCAAAACGCGGATCGTCTGATGCGACGAAGGAGGAAAAGAAACTCAAAAGCTTGTCGCGATTGGAGTATAGGATGGAAGCGATCTCTGGCGGCTTGTTCTCATTAGCAACGAAGGCGCGGAAAACATGGAAAGCCTCGGTGTTAATTGATTTCGACGCTTCCCGGAAGAGGTTCATGATGATCATGAGATTATTCGCGTCGCTGACGTATCTCTGCTTCACTGCGTCGTTGGCCGGAATTTGCAGCATTCTCCGCAGCAGCTGGATCGCCTGCCTCTTGGTAATGTACTTAGATTGCAGAAGGTTGTTGAACCTCTCGAAAAACCACGTGTGTTTGACCTGAAGGAATTGAGCCACCATCTCCTCGTGCCTCGTCAGCAGTTCTTCGAACGTTGCAAAAGCATCAGATGCTACGTCGAAATTCGCGACATCCACGTAGCTAAAGAACCTCTCTAAATCGCTCTGCGAGTACAACAAGTAGCTCGCCAATCGCTTACTTCGTATGCACTCTCTCAGGATGGTACCGCTGATGAGCGCCAACTCCGTTCTCTCGTAAATCGCAACCAAGAAATCCAAGATCCCTGGAGACATCTCAAGGTACCTCACGACTGGAAAATCCCCGTCTACCTTCTGACGCTGAAGGCCCGCCAATATGCGCGACGAGTTTATTCGCCCTTCCAAATCGAGACGCGGTATGCTTAATATCAGCACTCTGAGGAACTCGTCTTTCAGCGCCTCCTGCGTTAAGCAATACACCGTCTCCGGCACTGGTTCCATATCGCCTTCGCCGAAGAGAGCCGTCTTCACCTCCCGCAGCAACTTATTGCACTCTTCTTGAGTTTTTTCCACCCTCGCATCCCTCTCGAGGTTTGACAGACATCCCCGAAGAGCGCGCACGAGGTCTGCAGGTTTCGGTTTGGCCGTTTTGAACAACCCCTTCGGCATCCTGCCTGACTACGACGGGTAGGGGTGCCACTCACCTGTGATTGTCCCACCGGGACTGAGGCACGGGAGGAGAAGCCTCAAGCGCTCGGGCGATTGCTCCCCCCGCCGCCGCTGCCCCCCCCTTCCTTACCAAATGTTCCACCCGCCGCTTCGGACTCCTGCTCGAACGATTTCAATAATCAGCTCTCTCGCAGTTTGCCTGCAAAGCAAACCCTTCGACTATTTGGTCCAACGATTGAAGTGGTAGTGAGGAAGGGACAGCAGAGCAAATGTGAAAGAAAAGACGACTAGAAGAAGGGGCAGCAGAGCAAATGTGAAAGAAAAGACGACTAGAAGAGTAGGTTAACAATCAATGAAACAATTACACAAGGGGACGAATGAACGAGAGCGGGGAAAGCAAAGGCAGCGAGGAAACCAATCGCTGCGTTAACTTATAATACGTCAGGAGTAATTGAATGACAGACACAGTGAAGGCAGTCAATCACCAGTCCTGCCTGGCGACGATATGCAAAATAATAGTCTGTCAGGGCCACGTGACGGTCGAGTTAACCGCTGCGGGAGGAGGACTGACAGGAGACAGGACGGATTTTTTGAGCGGCGAGACAGCAAAGAAAGCGCAGCGAAGAACCTGATTCACGCCATCTATCGAACAGAGAAGAACGGGCGGCAAAAGGTAGGTGGTCGAACGAGGAGCGAAGTACCATGTAGAGGGCAGTAAGAGACTAACGTAGCAGGGACGTCCGTAGTTCATCAGGTTCTGATAAGGCGTGCGAATTCGGTAGGAGAGAGAAAAGGCGATTGCTGATGACGAAAGCAAGATAGAACAGAGACGGGGGCAGAGAGACAGCGAACGAGGCAATGATACCGGCGAAACAGAGCGAGAGAAGTGAGAGAGAAAGGAAGCTGTCCCAGTCGAAGACAGAGAAGACCAAGAGGGTTCAACGACAGAAAGTTAAGATGCGGCGGTCTAAGAGAGACACAGAGAGAGAAGGCAGGAGCTGTTGAGGAGAGACAGAGAGGCGCCGGTCGATAGGCAACGAGTGCCAGGCTAGCGAAGTGTCGTTAAGAGCTCGGAGGGCAATTGGATAAAATTGGTAATTCCTGTGGTGAGAGACGAGAGGGCGTCTCAATGGAGCAGTTGTATAATCCGCACCAGCTCGTGTCATTACAACTCCCTCCCCCTTCCTCAATTCACTCCCTACACGCAGCCCTTAATCTCCCGAGAACGAAGGTCCCCAATCCTGTTCCGTATCTTAGACAGTCACCGGAGATGACGCCGCTTCAACCCATTCACACGTCCGCCAGCTCTGCTCGTTCTCTCTCTCTCTCTCTCTCTCTCTCTCTCTCTCTTAAATCTTTTCAGACGCACCAACAAGGCAGGGTGGCAGCGAGGTTCTGACGGCTGAGCAGCGGGGCAAGCACAGAATCTGCACGGGTGCGCGAAACCATTTGCGCATTATCCTCGTGAAATTTATAGTCAAGAGAGTCGACGACCCCCTTTAATACGATCGTAAGCGCAAGCTCTGGGGAGGTTCCAGATCGTCTGGCACGCTCAAAAACACCGTAGAAATGGCAGAAATAGTTAGTAGGCAGGCAACCAGTGTAGGAAGCACGTGCGGCTTCGTCGCTGACTAAGCAGCCCATGCACGAAAAGTGAACTAATCGACCAATCGACGGACAAACTCCCCTCGGTGCCAACCTTGGCCGCTTATCAAACGCCCCGGACCTTTGGATGAAGAGCCAACTGTGGTCGCCGGACAGGGGAGAGAGCGAGGGCGGAGGGAAGGAAGCAAGTGAGGGCATACTCACACCTCGGACTTTTCTGAATGCCTCTCACCGAATTTCCGCCTTCGTCTGCATGCATCTGATCGCAATTGCGTCCAGAGATCAGTCACGAAAGTCCCGCGATGCGTATGCTCTGAGAAAAACGCACGCGCACCCACACATCAGTATCAACCTGTTCCACCAATTAACAGAGCGCGAAGAACCAAGTGGCCAATTCGCACAATTCTGTACAAACGCCCGGAATCCCAGCGCAAGGAAACCGGAATTCTGTACGCTAATTACAATTTGTTTTTCTATTATTATATAATATTGAACGTGTTCAACCCACTCGCACAGCGCCAAGAAGCGCACAACCACTTCCAATCCCAGCGCAAGGAAACCACACGGATGAAAGCGGGAACGCGTACGATACAGCGAACTCGGACGACATCCTGGCTGTCTTCGAAGACACGAAACATAGGACCTCGCCGCACCACTCACCAGAAGTGAAAAAGACAAAAGCAATCGTGGTGATAAAAAAAAACGAAAAAAAGAAAAGAGAAAAAACGCTATCGCGGGAGTCTCTCTCGACGGTTTAGGCAAAGACACCTGGCCCAGGCCCATAGAATAATTATGTTAACTGGGCAGCAATGGTTGTGGTTGATCAGCCCTCGTTCCACTACTCACGACGTGAAATACCCAGCCGAGTGGTGGACCAAGGCCCACAACTGCAAGGAGCGCTAGCCGCGTGCACAGCGGAGAGGAAATCTCCTTCCCAGCCCCGGCAGAACAGCAAACGGCTGATATCCAGGTGAAGGAGCTGTACTCGTGCGCCCTCCGCCAAAAGACGACAAACTGGGAGACCTGATACAGATGTCACGAGGTACGATGGCGTCACGAATGCGACGCGTTGCCAAACCCGCCAGGAGGGGAGTGCCAAGGCCCACTCGTGCTATGTTCATGCTACGAGAGTACGAACCTGGACTCTATCACCTCCAAATTCATGGCTCTGAGCACGAACATAGCACTAACGGGTCCTGGCCCTAGCCCACTGCCACCGCCATGGCTATGCCAGGAACAACCAACTTCGCCCAAGGGTACTGGGGATCTCATGACTCCGCACTGCAGAGTGCATTTGTGGGCCGCGCGTGTGCCTCAAGCCCGCGCCCACATCAACGACCACTCGCGAAACAGCTGACGCACGGGGGTTGGCGGACTGGAGGTTCTCAGCCGCCGCACGCGGCGACGCACCCGCGCTGAGCTATGCCTCTTTTTTGTTTTTTTTCTCCTCTCCTTCCTTCTACCTCTTTTTCTTTCTTTTTTCCTTTTTTTTTTTCATTTTTCTTTTCTTTGTTTTTTCTTTTTTTGGGATAATTTTCAAAATACCCCCATAAGTTGAGAAATGTGCCAAAATGCTCCTAAAAGATGTGGGTAGAGCGGAATACCCCTCTGACAAAAAAATAGTTTGTGAAATGCCCCTAGCATCGGTTGGACCCCAATCTTCGCAATATACCCCTACCGGGTACCGTCTAACTTCGCAAAATGCCCCCGTACTTGCCAACTTTTCCTAGGCGCTATTGCAAAAGGTGAAGGCCCAAACGGGGCGGTCCAGATTGCAACGTTGGACACCCGCCTGACAGGGGCACAACACAAAGATTTCGGCCCAAAAGGGCATTCGGCTCTACCCACATCTTTCAGGGGCATTTTGGCATATATCTCAACTTCTGGGGTTATTTTGCAAATTATCCCCTTTTTTTCACTGAAAGCTCGCAGCCCTAAGGCTGCGTTATAGTGGGCTTTGGTGTCTGCGTCAAGGTGTTGCATTTTCGGCGGCTGGCGACCAGGACGTAAAGTGGCTTTTTAGGGGGCAAAAGTTTGGGGGGGACCGGTCCTTGGCAAAATTGCGGACTACCTACAGGCAGCTCTGGAATGACCGGGCCTTTTGGAAAAAGCAAGGACCGGTCCTCGGGTTGAAGTCGACCCCAAAAAGGAAAACTAACGTGAAGCAGCGACAATTGGAAAGGGCGCGCCGGGCCGGGGGCAGGGGCTGAAAAGTCCGAAAGTGCGCAGGCTTGGGCAGTGTGGTTGAAACGACACTTCCGACGTGTGCTGACTTTGTGCGTTTCAGAAGGCTCAGGTCCGTCGATTGCCGTCGCTGTCCCACTCCCCTCAATCGCTCTCGCCATCGTCGAAACGAATCATCATCCAGGTCGGCGTAGGATCCTCTGTGTGTGGGCGCGCCCCCTTACTAATACTGACTCCGTCCATCGTCGAATGCATCATGCATGCACATACCTTTACTACCAATCATACAGGTAACAACCAAGAACGTCGCTTACCTCGGCGTTTCAGGGTGCGTTGCTCATGCTATCAAGGGAACTCCCTCTCTCTCTCTCTCTCTCTCTCTCTCTCTCTCTCTCTCTCTCTCTCTCTCTCTCTCTCTCTCTCTCTCTCTCTCTCTCTCTCTCTCT